TTATATTTTAGACCAATAGGAAGCCAGCTAACCAACGGCCAATCAAAATCTGCCTATATCTATTTTCGTCCAGGATCTCAGAGATCCGGATATTTGACAACCTTTTCCTTATCATCGTCACTTATAATGCACTGATAAGTACAAAATTTAACAAAAAAAAACTAAAATCAATAAACCAGTGAGAAAGAATACTGAATATGCATCATTATCGTCGTCGTCATAATCATCATCATCATTATCAGGACCAAAATTGTACCAAAAAAAATAATAATAATGAGTGCATAACTGAGGAAATTATTGACTAATGTTGTAAAATTAAAACATAAATTCATTGAAGACAAAAAAGCATTTTCTTTCACAAAATAACAACGAACATCTAGCATGATGAGTGAGTATTGATATTGATTTACAGTTCACTTATTAAGATAATAACAAGAGAAAAGGTAAATAAACTCTTGTAACATACAAGTCAATATCTTTGTGATAAAATATTTCTGTGATCATTATCAGCAAAATAAACAATGGTGTATCACGCGTTTCAAGCGTTAATAACTTATCTAAATTCTTGTTCTTATATCAGACAGAAAGGATGAATTTTTAGTTTGTAACGACTAACTGAATGCTTAATATACATATGTCTAGTAGACAAATGATAAACTGTGAAGTCTTTTAAGTATATATATCAGTGTGTACGTTTTAGTTGGAGATAATTGGTAAATCAGTGTAAATCAAATTGTAGTAGATAACACTTTAATAGTGGGTTCCAGTGTCTTACCACTTCTGAGTCAGTGCATGCCTAACCATTGCCTCCCTCCCCGAAGGGCATTACTACCTGATGTAGGTGCAGGTTGGAAAAGAGTAAGTGGTGGCTAAACAAAAACATGGCCTCATCAATCCATGAAACCCTTGACAGTTAAGCTGAGTCATCAAGTAGGAAGATGCAGACTTCCGGGTTGGGGCCCTCGAGACTCTAAGAATCAATGGCTGGAGACAATAGGTGACACATGGCTCAAAATCGTTGTCAATGGCCAGCGCAGATGTATTCAGTCACTGTAATCTTTCATATTTCTTTCTACCATTACCCATTCTGTTTCACTCTTATACCTGTTAAACTCTATTGATTCTCTTCACTCATCTTTTTGTCTACCTTTGTGTGCTATTCGGAGCGTGGCAACTGGAACCGCTGTACTTCGGTGCCAAGTTCTATGTTGAATCCAGACAGACAGTATTACGTAAGCATTTCGTTTGATAATCAGCAGATTTTACAAAAAGTCATAACATGGAGTTGAGATTTTCACACTGATATTTCTCACTGTGTCTACACTACATCCTTTTTCACCAGAAGTCTGTATCTTTCTTATTAAGGTGATTTACACTTTCTGTTGATCGATTATGTTAAGCTGAAATGTTCACTTTGTGTTGATATGTCGGCTGCTAGTATAGAAGCTTCAACAATGTCTGAGAATTAACGGGATTATAATTTAGCAGGAATCCAAAATGCACATCTCGTCCTATTCCGGTTCGGTTATCTAGATGTACCTAAGTAATAGTGTTCTCACTGAGGCTCGAACCCTACGCCAATCATTCTAAACACAAAAGTGTTATCCATTAAGCTTCTGGGGCCACGAGATTATGCCCATCCTGGATTCCATTGCTAGTTAACATTAACCAAAATAACAAAAGTGTATGCTGTATGGAAAATTCGTGAATGATAATTTTCGCAACAGATAAAAATGTTCTTCAGATTGTGTAAATAATAAGCGCAGTGAAAATAAACACTAGTTTATTTCAAGGAAAACCTTATTGGGAAAGTATTCAGAATCGCTGACCCGTCGACAGTTACTCCTATAAGGCAAAGTAATACCAACCAATACCGACGTTAATCCTACCTTGTTTTAGACCAGAGACATTTTTGTCACCTTAGAATAGTTTCATTTGTTAAAAACACATAGTGATACGTAATGTTCACTGATGAAGATTTGAGCACAAATTACTGCTCATAATCACGTCACAGCACTCATGCAACTCCCAGACTTTGTCTACATAAACAAAGTTCGCGAGTATTTTAGACTAGCCAGAGATCATTGTAAACCTAATTATATTTATCGGTTTAAAGGCAGTCTAATCTACAGACGGATATGAAAAGCCTAACCAGAACATGATAGTACAGTCGGAACTTAACGATAAACATGATTTTATTCCCCATAAATTCTACTCCTACTAGAACTGATGTGCAAAATCACAGATGTCAGTCATCAGCGAAATTAACATTTAATGACCACAAGAATAGTTACCTCCATCCACTGATGGCATACTTTTTATCGATATTACAATTCGACTATTATGCTTGATAAAAGTCTTTTGAATTGTTGTATAACCAGCCTAATGATAAAATCTCTGATATGAAGAAAATAAAAGATAGATTCACCGAAGAGTGGCAATGGGATCACCATTGAATCCTTTACTTGCAGACTGCTTCTTGGCTAGTTTGGAGAATAGTATTTTACGGCCTACTATCGACAGTTTCCATCTGTACCAAAGATACATAGATGATACTTTCACCACATGTGACGACAATACCAACATCGGATTGATAACTAAAGAGTTCAACAGCTGCAATCATGCCATCAAATTCACGTCGGAATCAGAGATTAACTTGGAATTGCATTTTTCGTATGCTTTTCTAAATAGAAGATCTGATGGTTCTCTTCAAAGATCGATTTACAGGAAACCAACATGGAATGGCCAGTACACAAATTTCCATAGCTGGGTCCCTTTGAGAAGAAAGATAAATCTGATCCATTACTTATCCTCAACAATTAGAAGGATATGTTCAAGTGATACAATCGATGGGGAACTGGAGCGACTGAGACAAGTTCTCATCGAGAATGAATATCCTCCAAGATTTATCGAGAAAAACATGAAGTTAAGAGAAAAGCCTGAAAGAATCCAGACGATGCCGAAGAAAATGCTCTTTATGAGTGTTAAATTTAAAGGTGATACCGCAGCTGAGATCCTGAAGAATTGCTTATGCAGATCACTGAGGAAAGCCTTCTCTATGGCTGAGCTACGTATCAATTTCTACAGCCGACAAATGATCAACGGATGTGTGAAAGATAAACTGGGGCTTTGGGCCACCTCAATGTGTGTTTATAAGTTCACCTGCTCGTGTGGAGCTAGTTATATTGGCCACCCGCACAAAGCGCACGCTTTCCAAACGCATCTCTGAACATTATCCGGCATGGTTAGCAAAGGTACAACGCAAGACAATTACTAGCTCAATTCTCGAGCATTTGGTGAACTCAGGCCACGTAGCTACACCAGAGTTGTCTTTCAAGATCATCTACAAAGTGAAGCCAAATGGTACAAAGGGCGTCAGGTTTCAGCTTTTGTGTATGGCGTAGGGGCTGGCAATACATCAATACAACCCTGAACTCTGTATACAGAAAAAATTTGTCCAGTCTCTTATTCTACCTTGGTCTTAACCTCTTCACTAATCGTTCCCTGTAAAAAAAATTTTTTGATTTTTTCTTTTGTTTTTAATTTTACTTTTAGTTTGCTTTTGCTTTAATAATTAATTCACTACGCTCCTTTTGTATATTTTCACACCCTCTTCACACTTGTTAAATTGACACTCAAATACCTTTATTCTCACTCAAGAGCAATTTTAACCTTATCAAACTTCTATCTTTGTTCCGTTGAGTGCCATGTAATTTACAACTTTTAATTCTTTTCACTTCTAAAGCCACTTATGATTAATTATATCAATTATGTCATCCCCTATTACTCAGTAATAGACCACTATACATTTTTCTAAGTATAAATACGACTGTATAGCCTCTGAAGATGATTTCATCGATAAAAAAATTTTCTTCGCTGAATCTGTCTTTTATTTTCTCTGATATGAGTTAAATGTTCCTAAGTAAAAATGCCTCCATCCACGTTTCCTATAACGTCATTGACTATTAGGTACAACACTTAAAAGAAGCAGGAAATACTGGTGTTGGGTTTATAAAATCCAAACTCCATCCAGAGATCCTTCAAAATTATCAATAGACAAAGCAGCTCTATTCTCCTCAAGTTTGCCGAAGCAATTTCTCTCAAACGCTTGAAACCAGATTTATGTGTTCAAAAAGAATCAGTTATTTGTCTTTCCTTGCCTTGGTAACTGGATGCCTTTTTTTCTCTCCCATCTGATTACATAATCTTTGTCTTTAACCTCATCCTCCTTTTATAATCTGTAATTTTGCTTGTCTCTTGTTTCTATGATTTGAGTTCAACTCAGTACATTGTTACCTAACTTATTGGTCACTATGCATCTAACGCACATCTCATCTTTATTATGTAACTCCCTTACCATTATATGCATACATTTATTTTGTTTTAACTTGAACTGCCTGTATGAAAACTATATAAGTGCAATTTTCTGAGCACTGTTTACTAATTGTAAGACTTTCTGTCAACTGACAACATGTAAAATTTGCAAGTATCTTAAAACGTTTCTGTACTTAAACCTCAAAATTTATTTAGGCTCTAAAGCAGCAGCTGATGAGAAGCCAACGAAATAAATGCTGGTACCATGTTATTCTGCACAAAACACTCAGTGTTGTTCTTGCTTTATTCAAACTCCGCAATTAAAAGACCTTATTTCTCATATTCAGAAACTATTCCACAGACACCAAAAACAATGATTAGAAGTTTATATTTCAATAAAATGTCTCTTACACTTGTTTGGTGTTTACGTATTTAATAAATAAAAAAAGGTATGTATTCTCTTTATCAAACGTTACTTCATTTGACGCATTTTCTTTATTATCAATAATCAAAGAGTAACTCAGAAAATTTTTGTCAAGAACAAAGGCGGTAAAAAAAATTAACGAACGAGATTTCAATTACACAATCAAATATTAATTTTGCAGATCAGTCTACTCATCATTATATGTATATATGTATAATAATCTTAATGACGTCATTGACAGCTGTGAAGTCACTGACATGCGTAATTATAATAATAATAATAATAATAATAATAATAATAATAATGGTAGCCGAAGTGCAATAAGAAAGGAAAGAAATCAAACAGTGATCGTTAAAAGTGTAGAATTTGTTTGTGTATATAATATAGAATGAACACAAGTAGTAAGTAGTAAGGAAAAAAGAATCTTAATTTATTGGCTAAATATATAGAATTGTTAATCACAGGACATATCTCTGTCTTTCTCCCTCACAAGACAAGACAAGATATGCAAAAATTAACAAAGTAGTAGTAGTAGTAGTAGAAGTAAATAGGTGGTGAATTAGCCACGTGTGTTCAACGCTTCAAAAATCCAAATCCAATCGGGCATGGTTATAAAATCCAAAAGTCATTCATTGATCATTGATATTTTTTAATGTGGTAAAGAATAGATATAGATAGAATAACATATACAAATGTTGTTTGTTAAGTAGTAGTGATTTTCTCATATATCATGATCACATTTTTTTAACCTAAAATAGAAATAAATAAATAAATGAAATCGACATTTACGTAAATGACAATCATAAAGTATATATAATATGTAAATCATCGGTAGATAAAAATAGATAATTTGTTCATTAAACATCCAGTATATATATATATATATATATATATATATATATATATATATATACATATATATATATATCTGATTTCATATCCTAAGAACAGTTTGCCACGTGAATATCTCATTGATTTAATAACGTAAAAACTGCAAGCCAGACATACTTAACATTGAAAGGATTTTGCATTTCGTTATTATCCTTACCTAAAAAGACTAAATCATCTTTTTTTTCCTTCACGTTCCCCAGTGGAACATTGGGCTTCAAGCTGGTGGCTTAAAGTTTCTGTAGCTGTCGTGTTTATTTTACAGGATGGGGTTGCTAGCCTCATACCCAGCCCAACCTTTCCTCTTTACCAACATTATTTCTGGCTTACAGCGAGGTAAAGAAGTGCGTTTGTGGCCGGGGATCGAAACCCGGACCATGTGCATGGTTGGCGAGCGTCCTAACCACTATAACACCGACGCACTTGGTATTCCAAAATATTTAAAAAAATACTTTTGTGTGGTTGCAATTCATTCATTCGTTCATTCAGACATCACAGTCGAGCAGGAGTACATACATCAGTGCATCTACAATGAAATTAAATAACAGCAAAAATTGACAGTGGGCATCAGTAGTTGTCATCAATTCAGACAACAACTATCTCTAATCTCTCATCCATCTGCATAAGTTCAACCTAAGTATCTTGACTATAGCAATCTACTTTCATGGCATTCACTTAAAGATCAAAGTCTGTTGCATTTCCCTATTGGCAGGATCAAACTCAGTCTTAAGGTGGGGAAATACGACATTTGTTGGAGGATAGTAAGGATATTTATGTTGTGAAACCTATTATAAAGTCAGGATATGACCAAAGGTCACTGGCACAAAAATGAAACCTACAAAGTCTTCTCTTATTTGTTTTCTCAAACCACACTCAGCCGAGTTAATCCTGTGATTTTCAAATGAGTATATATCCCCTTTCTTATGAAGTAGGATGATCAGTGATTTACACCAGTTTGACAGAATTACCTTAAATTTCTGTACACCAGCTGGTATGTCAGTCAGTGTAAACATCAGTTCGCCACCAACACCCTCAGACATATTTAGGATCAAGCTATTAGGACTAATTTTCTATCTCGTTTTAGACCATAGACATTTTTTATCACCTTAAGTACGGCTGACTGAATTATTTTTGCACTGCGTGACTGCTTGTTTCCTATTTGCAGTCAGTTGTAGGCGTATAAGTACTCGTATCAATATGTTGAAAATCTGTACAAAAGTGCTGAATAAGGTGCAGTAATCGTACATTGACTCTCAATATCAGTAACTTATAATTAACAGGTTTATTTGTGTCTGCTTTTAGCCTGATTTCGAGGAAATGTGTCCACTGTCTTTTGAAATTAGTACCGATCACAAACAGTTGATGATCTCAGAAAGACTATAAGGAACATTCCTGTTTATCATTTAGTGAGTATAGAATACCATAGAAACCATAAAAACGCTTTTCAGGCTAGCCTACTTTCCCCAATTAAGCATCAAAATCGCCTGTCTGAAAGAATTTATCTCAGAGTTTTGCTTTTGACGGCAAATTGGGAAATCTCTTACAAAGCTGATCCTCTCTCTTTTTGGATCTGTAATCAATAGGAGCGCGAGCAGTGATCATGAAGAGGCACTGGCAAGTGTCACAACCTTTCCTCGCTCACGTGGATCCATCCAGCCGGATAACAAAATTACAACTAAACTTGAGCTGAAAAGTGACTTTTCTGCTCTAGATCTCAATTCTAGCCACACACAAATAAGCCAACGGGACCCCCACTGAGTGAAATTAGTAGACTCAATATGTTAGCCAGGCGTAATTAGGTATATAACTATATTTACATCTTTCATGCATGTAACAGGCATACAACATGTATACAAAGCACAACATGCTGGTATTTGACTAGTGAGGCCTAATGTTTACGCCGTCCCTGGTGTAGACGAGATATCCGACTATCGACCAAAGGGCGGATGTACTACTCATCAGTCCACTCCGTCCTCCTTTATGGCTGTGAGTGAGACTTGGCCACTGAGAGTGGAATACATGAAAAGATTAGCTGTCTTTGATCATAGGTGCCTGCGTTCTATCTCCCGTGTGAATTGGTACAATAAGGTGAGCAATATTGAGGCTAAGCGTCGAGTTCTAGGTAAACAGGGGAAATCAATCGACGGAGTTGTGAAGTTACATGGACTGAGATGGTTAGGACATGTGTTACGTATGCACGCCTAGTCATCACCTTCCTCTACGAGCAATGTTAGTGGATATAGGGTCAGGCTGGAAAAAAGCTAGCGGAGGTCAAACAAAAACATGGCCTCACCAGTTAATGAAATCTACAACAGTTGGTCTAAGCCAGCCACGTAGGAAGAAGGTGTAGACTTCCTGACTGGTTGGGGTCCTCGGACGGTAAAAACCAATGGAAGCTTGAAACAATTGGTGACATGGCTCAAAGAGATCGTTCTCAATGGCTGGCGCACATGCTTCCACTCCTTGTGACTTATAATTTCCAATGAAACTGTTTTGTTCTTCGTTATTACTATTCCTTTGTCTCACACCTCTGTTTATTGTCTCTATTATGCATTTCTTGTACTTTCTTCTCTTGCTTTGTGTGCTACAATGAGGGAGTGTGGTGGCTTGAACTGGCGCACATCTGTGCAAAGTTCTATGTCGAAAGCAGGCAGACAGTGAGGTCTATTATCTAGTTTGATGGTGTGTTCCGAGGTTTAAGGCTGCAAAATGAAGTTGGCAGAGAGTTGTTTTAATGAACTAAGAAAGCCAATTACATATCTCAACATTCACATACTTATGAGAAAGTAAAGAAACCGTTTGAGGAATTAAGTTTAAAAGTTTTATTGCTTCAAACTTTACTAATTTTTCCACTAAACTAGTGAAAAGTGCATAGAAATGCACTTAGTGAATTGAACAGGCTAAACCCAGAGTGGTTAAAGTAACAATGTATTTAGTCAATTGTGTGCATATTTTTTTCAGTGTATTACATACAGAAAAGCAACACAGTATTGATCTTCATCTAAATGCAGACTAAGAGTGGTGTAACTTACAGACGAAAATCTTTAAAATTAGAATGTATTAAATAATGACTTTGATAAAGTGAATAATTCAAAAAAAACAGTTAAAAAGGACGGGGCGTGTATTTTTTTTTGTATAATTCTTGACAAAACGGTCTCCTTCTTCTTCGTCTTCTTCTCCTCCTCCTCCTCCTCCTTATACTTCACTCTTATTCAAAACAATGAATTTTGTTTTATTTTAAAAAATTGTAGCTATTATTGACACATTGTCGGAAAATATCATAATGAATAGTGTAGAAATAAAAATAATTCAACGAAAAAACAGATTTTCATGATGATGATGATGCGCATTCATAATGCGTATGCAGCTAACCTTTAAGCAAAATTTCTTTAGGTGAATGTTTTTTTTTTATTAAAAGAAAAGCAGTAAATTTCACATATGTACAGGTGTCATATTCATTTGTGAATTAGGCATTCATCAAATGTTCACTATTGTTTATTTCATCCTCAAGGCTAAGTTTACTTAGATAGACATTATTAGTTTGTTTTATTTTATTTTTGATTACAGCTTGATTTCACACTGTATGTTTGGTACAAGTATGGAATTTTCAGCATATGATATCGGTAGCCCAAATTTTGCAGGTCGACTAATTGATATCAGGTGTGAGTCGGCAGGAGATCAAACCTCGGATGATGTGCATGGTCGGCGAGAGTCCTAACCACTGTGACTTAATGTCAGAATATGAGTCTCTGACACAGCAGAACATCTTTATCTGCATGATTTCTATCTCTTCAAGTTAGTTATTGTCGAAAGGTACTTGATAATGGTGTGACTCGAACACCCCTGAATAATCAGTGCCTTCAGATAACTTGTTCAAGTACCATGGTGGTAAGTAGTCAACTAGCTTTTTAACTTTACAAGAACATTCCGTAATCTAATCAGGTGCTTAGCATTTAGAGCGAGGTCTATTTGTTCCGAAGACTGCGTGGAGAAAGAACTCTAGGTCATTCGAGACATTCTAAGTGAGAACGGATATCTAGAGAAGTTCATTAAAGCCAACATAGGTTATAATAGTCGTAAACATGAACTGGCAATTCTGAAGAAAAAGCTTTTGTTTTTACATCTCCAATTCAAGGGAGATACTCCTGCGGAGATTCTATCCCAACGTTTAACCACGGCGATCAAGAAAACTTTCTACTCTGCACATCTGTGTCTATCCTTCACTAGCCGTCCAATGTTCACCCACCAACTCAAAGATGTCTTACCCACTAACCTTAGCTCTTCTTCATGCATATACCATTTCAACTGTTCCTGTGGTTCAAGTTATATAGGGCGCACGATTAGGCAGGTTCGTCTACGGGTTCGAGAACACTTACCAGATAGGTTCAGCAGGGGGGAAATTAAATGCATAAAAAGCTCGATCCTGTCACACTTGGTCGATACTGGACATCGCATCGAAGTCAACACAGCTTTCAGGGTTATATACCGAATTCCGAAGTCGTTATCACGTACAGTTCGCTTACGTCTCCTACACATAGCTGAAGCTGTTGCAATAAGATCAACTAAACCGGAACTTTGTATCCAAAAAGAACACGTCCAGACACTGTTCCTACCGTGGCCAAACCTGGATCGAAGATTTTTCTTCTCACCAAGAGTGCTCCTTCCCCTTAACCCTCTTGTGTTTTTTTCCTTCTTTTTTGTACTTTGCTTATTATCATAAATATTATTATTACAGTTATTAATAATTATTATTCGTCATAATTTATGCCCTTTATGCAAACATTCCCTCGATACTATCGAACTTTTCATTTATACGGACTTATTATTAGTGATATCTGTTTCATTTAACATACTCGTTATCTCATTATGAACCTCTCATTGCAGGCTTACTATCCCCTGTTTAAGACAGACCACTTTGTACGAGCCACTCACCTGACACCTTCGATAACCTTGAACTGACTTGTCAATTTTCCTACCCCACACTCTACAAATCTACTATAAATGATCACCATCACTGTCTCCCGTTTTACAATATTTAGTAGTCGATTTCAGCCAACTAGCACGTTTGTCACACAAATATGACTATTTATTTCGACACCTCATAACTAATCTGTTATTCTAAGTTAAAAATGTATCCACCGCCGCATAACTGGTCTTTATTGTAACGACCACAAATATTATATTATATAATTGTAAGAACCTGAAGAGAAATTATTGAGAAGAATATTCTTCGTTCAGATTGTCTTTTAATTCATTCCGTCTTTGGCAAATGCACTTTTCATATACAATGATAGCTGTCTTCAGCGCATGGTGTTATGTAGCACAATGAAGAAGAACAATAAACTTATGATGCAGATTTTGGACTATAAAAATGACACTCTTAAAGCATTCCTTTCAGTGTTGCCGTTCTCAAAAGCTAAACTATTTGCATTAGGACTTTCTTACATGATTAAAAAAGAGTGCACCGTAACAGTACATAATACGCCCTTTGTAGCGTAAGAATAGAATTTGAGCGGTGTTGCCCAGTTCAACTGTATATTAAGTAGGTTCGTTTGATATAATACCCAATGACAGAGTGAGAATAACTGGATAACCGTGTAAGCACACCTAGGTGAATGTAATCTTATCGTATTACTGAAACATTATTATGAGCAATAAATTGTATTCAAAGCGCCCGAAAAGCTCCCTGAGTGAAAAAGTCGGTGACGCAGATTTGTATCTCAAGGCAGATATCAGTTCCGTCAAGGCTGCAGACAGCTTTTTTGATAAATACCAGTGAGCACGAAGTCAAGGTATACGACTTCCTGCTAATATTCTCTCGAGGACTTAAACTCATGTTACCTTATGATGTAAATATGATTGATGGAATTCAGTCATTCCTTAGGACTAGGTGCATGTTAATGGCTACTTCCCGATGACCATCTCTAAGTTTCTTTTCCTCCTTCATTGTTGTTTCTTTTTATCTACGTAGAGGGTAGGGAAAGGCTAAAACAATGGAAATTTTAAACTATTTATAAGTGTAACTTGAAGTCAACTGGTTGATAGTGACTAGCAGTGAAATCCAGGATTCTCATTTCGTCCTATTTGCGTTCGTACTTGCGTTCCTCAGTGAGTGATGATGTTCCCACCGAGGTTCAAACCCGTAGTCACCACTAGTCACTTATAACTGTGTTAAACTTCTTATGCCTCATAAAATGAGCACTGACTTCCATCATATGTGACATATTTTATATTTATGTATTGTTCATTTTGTAGATATCGGTTTTTCTATTCCATGAGTAACCTAACTGTAATTTAAAAACTAACACGTATTCAATTTACAGCATACTATAAAAGTGAGCCACTCCTATAATACACAAAAAAAACCATGAGACACCTCTTCAATTTAAGGTGATGAAAACTCGTTTTATATAGCTAACTCATTTAGCGTGTTGTTTACTCCACTTTGAATGGTGTTTCACAAAATCTATTATTATTATTATTCATATCGATTTAGTGTTTCATTTTCTGGCTTAATTACTAAAAAAAAATGTAAGAAGTTTAAAGTCTTTTCAAAATTTTTTTTTCATGAAAGTTTGTAATATTACCTGATGACTTTTTTATGCAAGAGTGACTTTCACTTCAGCTTAGCAAACTGAGGATCGCTCACTTAATCCCACATGTTAAATTCCTTCGGATTTAACATATGCATTACACTCAGATCCAGTAAAATATAAAATTAGACAACAAAAGTGAGGTTTGAAAAAATTTGGGCATTGGGTATATGATATTCATTATAATAAAGGTTTCCTTGGAGTTGCGCTAAATCACGAATTGGTAGAAGTTAGAATTCATGGACTGGCCATTGAATCGGATCCCAGTGGCTGAATGGTATACGAGCTAGCTTGTCTTGTAACCGGAAGGTCCTGGGTTCGAACCTCCCTGTGGCGGGTGCGTACTGCCGATGATTCCCAAAACTAGGTTGAAACAGCAGATGTCCAGTACTCCCTGACCGGTTTTCAATGCTCCTCTAACTGATATCAGTGCGTGATCAACTCGTAAAAACATAACTAACCCTTACAAACCAAAACTATAGAAGATACAAAAACCTTTATTATAACAAAAGTGAGGCTTAAAACAGTTTTTAACACAACACCTAAAACAAAATATGTGAACCTGTGACTTATCATTTGCAAAGCGTAGGCAGACAATACGTCAATGAGGTGCAACACGTGTGACTGCTGCTTACAAATTAAAAAAACAGCCTAAATTCACATACATACATACATTTTGAAATGACAATCAAGGATTATAAGCATAGTACAGAAGAGTATAGGGTATAAAGTGTACTTAACTTTAAACCATACTTACACTTACAAACCTATATATTAATAATTTTGTTTTAACTGGAAAAAGTAGAATAATTAAAATAACTTGTAAATTTCTAAAGAATGCAAAACACTACAACTACACTAATTAGAAAAGAGAAATTTCATTGAAATCGTAAATTTTTGTTTTGATAAAGTCTCACAGTGTTATACAGTAATGTTTACTGATGACCACGTTTCGAGCACAATTTATTGCTCATAATCATATCAAGGTACTCACACAACTTTCTAACTTCATTTATATAGTTCCATTATTTTTCATTTGATTTTCACTTGATCTGATTGGCAGTAGTATTTTCCATATTTCAGGTATGAGTGATGAATCATTCCTATTGCATGTGTTTGGTGTAGACTGGATGAACAAGGATTCAGTAATCGACCATTCTTACCTTAGCTAAATGACCTGTGACGTCACAGGTCATAGGTCAAACTAGTAGGTCAGGGCTAGTCAGATTGTTGGAACATAAGAATTTAGCTAAGGTAAGAATGGTCGATTACTGAATCCTTGTTCATCCAGTCTACACCAAACACATGCAATAGGAATGATTCATCACTCATACCTGAAATATGGAAAATACTACTGCCAATCAGATCAAGTGAAAATCAAATGAAAAATAATGGAACTATATAAATGAAGTTAGAAAGTTGTGTGAGTACCTTGATATGATTATGAGCAATAAATTGTGCTCGAAACATGGTCATCAGTAAACATTACTGTATAACACTGTGAGACTTTATCAAAACAAAAATTTACCCATAATGGAATTATACTCCACCACAGTGCACAAGTTTTATTCTCATATCATTGAAATCGCTTTATAAATATTATAAGAAGGTAAACTTATCAAGTACACTTTTTTTGCACATATTTAAAAGTTTTTTTTGTATAATCTATGTAAATAAACGGACAGAACCTACTGTTCAGTGAAACTAGAATACAAAAAGAAAAGAAAAAATTAGGCCTATAGTGTGGATAATTAATTTACCAAGTAGAAAATATTTTTAATACCAAGTATTGCTCATCTTAATTATTATTATTATTGCTCCTTTTGGTTCCTAGTGGAACATAGGGCTTCAGCTGCACGTATCCACTTGCCACTTTTGTCTTCCTTCTACTGTACTTTTCACCTGCATCCATATTAGTCCATACTGCTTCAACTCCTCTTCACACGATCTCCTCCATGTCACCCACCCTTGCACTGAAGTCCCATTCGCTGCTTCCCTTTCGGGTTCCACTCGAGGGCTTGACGCGCGATGTCACCCAGCGGTCTCCTCAGCGGCTCATCCTAATACTGAGTTGAAATGGCCAGCTGGTATGTATTAAGCGTGAAAGATGCTTGTAGGTGAAGTTATAGTTGCAGTAAAATGAGACTGTTATTTAAAGCGCATAAAGCGACTTCCCGTGACTATTTTGCAGGTCAAATTCAATGTTGTAATTTTCTTCTTGTAAAAGAATCAAGTTTATATTCTCTTCAATGTGAATTAAAGTCTTGATTATATTTATGAGTTGATTTTCAATTAAGTAAATGAAAAATCCCCATATATTGAAATCAAAACAAGATTTCGAGCGAACAGCTTTTTTTGATAACTTCTTCTTCTTCAGGCTCTACAGTTATAAATCCATGAATAATAGAGTACATATAGCCGACCGTATAATGAAGGCTAGGGTGGCATACATCAACTTGAGCCATCTCTGGCGCCGTCGCGACGTTAGCCTGGCTGTCGAAGGTCGGGTATACAATGCTTCGGTGCGGGCTACCCTGCTCTACGCCTGTGAAATCTGGCCTCTCCGAGTAGGCTGAGGATGTGCGGCGACTCTGTGTGTTCGATCACCGCTGTCTCCGCAGGATTGCTTGCGTTCGATGGCATCATCGCGTGACTAATTCTAAGGTTCGGCGGCGTGTGTTTGAACACAGTGGAGATCACCATTCAATGAGTGTCGTCATCTGTAAACACCGGCTCCGGTAGCTTGGATATGTTCTGCGAATGTCATCCCAGAGGCTTCTATACAGGTCTCTGTTCGCTAGCCAGCCCTGGGACGGGATGGAGAAGGCGGAGAGGTGGTCAGTCTATGACGTGGCGTCGTGGGATGAAGGGTGTTTGTGCTAGATTAGCATCGGTTGGGGTGTCACGACTCCCTGGTTGGGGTCCGAGAGATTGTTCAAATCGATGGCTCGAAACGTTATCGGATATGGACAAGAATCGTAGTCAATGGCGAACGTGTTGCAATTTCCTTCTTACATCCCTTCCCGGTGACAGTTAACGAACACTGTTTGAACTTGTTGAAACATGACTGTCTTCCTTCCAGATGAAGTTCTTTATCCGTTCTCTACTTATATATACATTTTTCTTTTCCTTCTTTTTTTTCTTTTGATCTATGTTGTTTTATTATTATTGTGTGGCGCATCCTTCTTGGTGCCATATTGTACCAAGTTTTTTATGCGTTTAAATAAATAAACATATAGCCAATAAAGGCCAATGCAAATAGTATCACAAACTGTATTGGGGTACATGTGTAAGTTGAGATGATAGTCCATTAGTTGGCATAGTCAATTTAATGTGTATAGGGTGTTTAGTCAGAAAAATGTTGACAAAAATAAGGGTTTATTTCACCTCATTGTTACCTTTATTTTTGTCAACCTTTATGATTTTCTAATAAGCCTACCAATTCTATAGCATTTTATTACAATTTACAATTTAGCCTCTTTATTTTAACATTAGACATTATCGGTCAGCCCTCACATCCAGTGCCTCCTTTGTTAATATGTATTTGTATGTATTTTGTGGTTATCGCATTTCCCTCACCCCGAAGACACTTGTATTCTGTTAACTATAAAACAGCACTATATCACCCAATTGGGCGTCGGTGGCACAGCGGTTAGGACGCTGGTCAACCATACATATGGTCCGGGGTTCGATTCCCAGCCACAGACGCACTTCTTTACGTCGCTAAACCAGAAATAATGCTGGTAGAGAGGAAAGGTTGGGCATGAGTCTAGCAACCCCATCCTGTAAAATTAAACACTGCTAAAGAAACTTCAAGCCACTAGCTTGAGGCCCTATGTTCCACTGGGAACATGAAGGAAAAAAATCACCCAATTGTTCATTCACACTGCATCACATTTTTCTGACTAAACACCCTATACACATTAAATTGACTATGCTAACTAATGGACTATCATCTCAACTTACACATGCACCCCAATACAGTTTCTGCTATTATTTTCATTTGGCTTTATTGGCTATATGTACTCTATTATTCATGGATTTATAATTAACTATAGAGCTTGAAGAAGAAGTTATCGAAAACAACTGTTCGCTCAAAATCTTGTTTTGATTTTCAATTGAATTGTACAACTAAAAAAGCTTTATATGTATCCTCTTCTACAGAAGTTCACTTCTGAAGTAAAGGCTTCAAGTAGAAGTGCAAACAATATTTAAAAATGGTTGAAGATCTTTAGGAAATCTATGACTAATCATTCTATTGAAATACGAGAAGAGATTACGTATATATACAACTCTATATTAGTATTAGTTTCCTGAATAATAGATGTTAGCTGCTCGGTTAAAATACTTGGCAACCTAAATTTCTATCCAGTATAATGAATCTACTAATGAATCTTGTTGTTTTTTTTATTCTTCTGATTATTTCCTTGAACTGCAATATGAACTCACGCAAATTTTAACTGGCTGCCAATCTCCCATGTGTACTTCAAGAAGAAAACGAAGGAAAAATGTTACAGAGGATTAAGTCTTCTTTCAGACATAATGACATCGTGTCATACGATATTACTGTTGATGAATATTTACTTGATGATTGTATACGGAAAGTAAATATTTGGCAATTCTGTATTCTGTTTAAATATAATTTCAACAATAAAGTTGATATTATTATATGATTGGAGGAAATCAGTAGACAGTTTTGCTTGACGTAGATTTCGTGCTTGCCGATGAGTGCCAACAAGCTCGAAACTTAGGTCAAACAGGGCTGCCGCCTTATGACTACCTCCAGCCATCTTCTTACAAAAAATTTGAGCGTAGTGTTATGGCGAGCCACCAAACAGGGTGGCCACATTGCAAACTTGACTGATAGAATTCAGCCCTTAGTAAACAGAAGGCTAAACAAATAACACTAGTTAGTGTCCAGTCAAAAGTTGATGTTAATACGATGAATACTGCACCTCAGAGTCTACACAAATATCTTTAAATTGAAGTTGGGCATCAAAGTTTCAACCTTACGAATAACGAATAAGTGTCTAGTTGACTTACTGACTAATTATACTAACCCCAACAATATTTGTTAGTATTCTTCTGGAATGATAAATAACTTTCAAGTACTGGTTTTGTAGGGATTTTTTGTTTGACTGGAGGAGGATTTTATCATGAGCTGGCATTGGTTAGAGAACCATTGGAAATCCTAAGAGTATCGGATAGCCAGTTGTTTCTTCATAGTTTGGGAGTCTTCATCAGTACGCATCCGCCATCAGGTTTTGGACCCAGGACATTTTGGTTACAAGGCTAGAGAGCTCGTAGACCATTGAGCCACTAGGAGCCGATCCAATGGCCAGTGCATGAATTCTAACTTCTGCCAATTCATGACATAGCGCGACCACTAGCCAATGTCTCTTTTCCGATGAGTTACTGCTTCACCTTCAACCTGCTGCACCCTACTGGTCACGGGTTCCTACTAGAACCGCAGGTTAACTGCCTGAATAGGACCAGTCGCCAGTGAGCATCTATATATTTATACAATGATTTTGTTGAGCAAGTTTGCAAAAGTAAATTCTTCACTTTTTTGGAATTGAAAATGAAAACTATTCCAGTCAAACCGTCTAACTCTGAGATAACCAATCACCAAAAAATAGCTTAATGTTTTCTACTTTAATTGATAGGTTAAAGTTCCTTTTTTTTCTATTTCCCTCTTACTGTGTTCAAGTTTCCTTATTTACATGTGAACTAGTGATTTGCTTATGTTATTTTTGGAAGGTATCAAAAATACATTTGTATCCATACCCAGTATCCGGGTTTTGTCGTCGTCGTCGTCGTCGGTTGAATTAATAAATCCCACAGTCAAAAACTCTTTCGTATTTATTCTATGACTAACTACGAAAAGGTGAAGGCAAACTAAAGTCATCTGTTTTTAACAGTTTTAGCACTAGCTGACTTTTTATGATAAAATGAATTTTTTATTATAGCTGGATTCCACACCACATTTTTCGTACATGTATGGAATTTTTCAGCATGTGATATCAGTAGCCCAAATTTTGCAGGCCGACTAATCGATATCAGGTGTGCATCGGCAGAGGATCAAACCCAGGACCATGTGCATGGTCGACGAGAGTCCTAATCACTGTGCTACGGACGAACAGCTGGAATAATTAATTTATAGTCATAAACAGTTATAAGAACAAAATTTGGAGTTGACTGAGATGCCTGTCAAAACTAAGGTTAACATCATGGTGTTATCTGTCTATTCTAACCTTAAGTTTACCCTGCTAAATGATGTTATTGATAACTATACAGTGAAATTGAGTTACAGTTTGTTAATTTCAGTAAGTTGCTTTGGTTTTACACATTGTAAGTTAAAGACTTAAGTGATGAGTTATGACTTCAGTGTAAATGTCGCTTTCGAATTTGACGGTTCACTCCTGGTAGACGTGTTAAATAATATAACTTCAGCTTCGTATATGTGACCGCATGTTCGATAAAATAATCAGATCACGCTTCAAAACAATCTAGTACTGTGAAAGTCGGGGAAGTGTGTTTGAAATCACTTGCTAACCTATATAGGTACTATAAGACTACCTTAACAACAAAAGATAAACTCAAATCTTCTATTCTTGTCTAATATTTCCCACGAAACCGATTTAGTGATATTGAGAAATGCGCGCTAGTTTAATTCAGTTCTAATGTTTGTGTGAATCTTACAGGCATGTAATTCTTCCTAAATTAAAGCATATTTAATAGTTTGATTCTCGTGAATACACCTTGGAGTGTACGCTATCCTTATTCTCATCACTATACAGATAGGCATTTGAAGCACTTCAACAAGTTTGTCTTTTACCTCAGCCGTCTTCACAATTTGTTCTCATCAAATACAAAGATGGTTATTGGCAAACTTAGATTGGAATCTAACTCTAAAATTAAATCCAGTGTTGAACTGTTTATGGCCACAAGGTCAACTAAACTGAGTTAAAAACTTGGGAGAAATAGTCATGCGCTAAGAGAGAATTTGGATTATACTTTATAAGCTTACTATTGCACGTTACGTCAAAGTTCCATGTACGCCTTTGGTCTTCATTGCAAACTGTCTGTTTTAATTTACTGCTTTGTAGTGCTAGAAAATGTTACGTCTACATAAACTGTTTGAAATTTCAGCTTATTTGAAACTTTTGTAAATAAGATGGTTTAATAACGAAATTAAAATCCTCAATATTTCATGAAATATTTCACATAATTGCATATCAATTCACACGACTGTGTAAAAAGTAAAGTTTTTGAAACCTCATAAAATTGTTTACTCTTAATTTAATACAGAATATTATTTGGTTACAGGATTTCATCATGAGCTGGCATTGGTTAGAGAACCATTGGAAATCCTAAGAGTATCGGATAGCCAGTTGTTTCTTCATAGTTTGGGAGTCTTCATCAGTACGCACTCGCCATCAGGTTTTGGACCCAGAGCCTTCTGGTTACAAGGCTAGCGAGCTCGTAGACCATTGAGCCACTGGGAGCCGATCCAATGGCCAGTGCATGAATTCTAACTTCTGCCAATTCATGACATAGCGCGACCACTAGCCAATGTCTTCCGCAAGTATGTCCTCACCCCGACCTGCTGCACCCTACTGGTCACGGGTTCCTACTAGAACCGCAGGTTAACTGCCTGAATAGGACCAGTCGCCAGTGAGCATCTCGTGAATATTCATGTGTTGGTTTGTAGTGATTTGCAGATCAGTAGGTTTTAAAGATATTAGATATTCACGAGAATAAATAATCCGATTTGAGGTCATATTTGAATAAGATTTATTGATTAAAATATCAATTAGAAATGAGAAATTAGACGCAATATGATTTGTAATGTTTAAGGTAATTGGTAGCCCAAGATTTAAGCAGGCCGCCAAGGTCAAGCAATCAGTATTCCCACATCTTGCTAGTTACTAGAAAGATGTTTCGCTTAACGTTCTACATTAGGAAATTTAGGCAGTCTGGCATAAACCAGTCTTTACTTTCTCAGTTTGTAAATTCTTGTATTCTACCCATCCCCCTTTACTGCTCCCCATTAGTCTTTCCTGGACTACTTAAGAAAGACTTTGCTTCGCTGAGAAGGGCACTAAAAGCTGTTAGTAGGGCAAGTGGGATATCGTTAAACCAACTGGTGAACACTATTGTAGATAGACATATAATGTCATGTAAGAAACTAGTGAATACAATATTGTCGGACCCCGAGCATCCTCTCTATACACAGCTCTCTCCTTGCATTTCATCTGGAAGAACTAGAAGCAGCTATAGGAGGCTATATGCTAGGACTACCAAATACAAAAAGTCCACAATACCATATCTGGCAAAGCTGTTATGTGATGAGAAATCCGTTAGGTATGACACGATAAACTTACTGCAGCACTCTAACAAATAGTCTCATTAGGTTTTCTTTTCCTTTCCTCGTTACTACTACACTGTTGATCTCATCTACTACCACACATCAACTTTATATTTCAAATCCTGTGTTGCATTGTTTGAAATGAAATACTCTACGCTGTTTTTTTCTTAATTTTTGATATTTATTTATTTTATTTATTTATAACTTATTTTATTTTTATTTATTTATCTTTGATTTTTAAAAATCTTATATAATTTATGAGGTAATTAGATGCAATATACTGTAATGCACGCTGAAAATTCCATACCTGTACCACAAATACTGTTTGGAATAAAGCTGTTATTATTATTTGATTGGTTACAGGATTTCATCATGACCGGGTCGGGTGTGAGGACAAATACTCACCGAAGACATTGGCTAGTGGTTGCGCTATGTCGTGAATTAACAGAAGTTATAATTCAAAGGCCATTGGATCGGGTCCCAGTGGCTTAATGGTATACAAGCTTGCTAGCCTTGTAACAAGTATTTCCTGGGTTCAAACCCTGACGGTGGATGCGTACTGATGAAGAGTCCCAAACTATGACGGAACAGCTAGCTGTCCAATACTCTCAGGTTTTCCAATGGTTCTCTAACCAATGTCAGCTCGTGATGAAATTTTGTAATCAAACAAATCCGTACAAACCAACACTAGAATATTATTTCTTTTCTACGAAGACAGCTTTACATGTTGTAAAATGTGTTGCTCTATTCATCATCAATTATTTTACTTAGAATATGAAATATTGCCTAAGATCACCAAGCAATCAGATAAACCACAGTTGTTCTAGCCTAAATTCTTAACTGAATTAAGTATATATAATGAATGACGGTGAGTATTTTGTGCCGATCGCTAATAATTTTGTAATCATTCTTGACCAGGCTTTTTTCTCTTCCAAATTGAACCTTGATAATATTTACGCTTGGAACTATCTAGCAATAACTTGAGATTGATGAAAGATGTACGATACATTCTAGACTTTTGAAATACTTAAAGTACCATCAGATCTTAGATTAAGATGTCATTATTTTGTTAACTACTGAATGGCCTTGTTTAATGTTTAATGATCACTAACAAGATGACAAGTTGTTCTGAGCACACAAAAAAAAAATAGTCGTGACTATTTTAATGCGCAAACCTTTACATATTTCGATATTTATTTATTCTCAGCGAATTTCCCAACTGAGTTTCAAGTGTATGCCAGTGCCTATTATGCAGGCATTTACGCGATATATGGTATATGACAAGTTCATGTCACAAAGTGTTCTGTGAATAATTAACATTAAGCAATTTTTAAATAGATCATACCATCTTAATGATTCCTCAAAATATCTCATAATGCAAAATTTTGATTTTTCTTTCTTTAGGCATTTCACTTACCGGGATCCTTGATGAATGTCTAAATTGAGCCTTGAAAACAGATTCAGTATAAATTGGACTAAAACCTTTTGTTTCTGGTAGATATAAAGCGATAAGAACAATCACAGTGATCAGTATACATATAAACGGTATGAATGCATAAATATCCATGATTGCCTGTAGAAAAAAAAAGAAAGAGTAGGAAGGAAATGAAGAATGTTGATTACTCATGCAGAAAAATGGAATTATTATTTAATTTTTTACTTGTAACAGTTTGTTAGCACATTATTCTCAATAATATTTGAAATTCAAGCTTTCATTACTCTCAAGTGTGTGTGGAGGTCAACAGCACTCAGCATCAAAAATAACATCCGGATTTTTAACTCCAATGTGAAGTCAGTGCTACTCACCATACGGATCAGAGACTTGGCCAGCGCGTCATAAAGAGCATCTCAAACAAACTTCAGACATTGATTAACAGTCGTCTTCGCTCAATACCACTCAATATCAGATGGCCGGCCAGAAAAGATCACCAACAGGGATCTCTGGCAATGAGCGAACTAACCAGCCAGGAACCGATTGTGAAACAAATAGGGAGGAAGAAATGGAGATTGATTGGCTGTTCATACTCTCAGGAAACCATCAAGTGACATCACACGCCAGGCCATCGCTCGAGTGGAACCTGAAAGGGAAGCGGGCGGCGAGTTGGTCGTCCGAGAGTGGGGTGACTTGGAGGAGGTCATGTGAAGAGGAGATGAAAGCATGTGGGAAGACTTGGAGGGGAGTGAAAAAGTTGGCAGAAAACCGAAGGCAATGCAGACGTTTGGCTGAAGCCCTATGTTGCTCTAGGAATTAAAGGATATAATAAAAATATTTGAAATTGGAACTACGTAAGATATTATTGAAACTGAACTGCATCAACTAACAACTCTGTCCAAATTTTTTTAATTTCTGCTACATTTCAAGGTAAACAATAAAATCAATCCAAAATATCACAGGTTATTGTATTTTGGTTATAAAAGCTATTAAAATTATTGTGCTGTATTTCAATTAACAATATCCAGATGATCATAAACGCACCGAAAGAGTAGTGTTGTTACAGACTGTTAAATGAATACTGAAATAAGAATTATATATAAATATATATTTATTCTCCGTAATTTTGATAATGTTGCCAACATATTTGGCTTGTTCTATGAATTAAATTGGATTGAATTTCAACAATAAAGCAAAATAATGAAATACTTAATTCTGATTAGTTTGATCCTAAAACTGGAGATAATAAGGTATGTACAGCTAGAAATCACTGAAGAAAGATAAATCCACTGATGAGAATCTTTCATACTTCCAGATAAAGCAATCTCAGTGTAGCAGTGATTGATTTGCTCATGAAGAATAAGTTGAGCAGTCTTTGCAATTTTTGTGTGTCGGTGGCACAGTGCTTAGGACTCTCGTCGACCATGCACATTGGCCGAGGTTCGATCCCCTGCCGTTGAAGCACACCTGATATCAATTAGTCGGCCTGCGAAATTTGGGCTACTGATATCACATGCTGAAAATTCCATACTTGTACCAAAAAGTACAGCGTGGAATCAAGCTTTAATAAAAAAATTAGCTTAACCTGATTGACACAGTTTACTGATTCACATGAATGATTTATAGGTACTGTTTTCAGACAGTTGAACATTTTGTTCATTTAAAAAAAAATTTATTTTAGATGACAAAATCAACTATTGGACATTATTTTCACAATGTATTCCTGTAAATGCAAGGAGATTTGCAAACACCATCGTATCTCTTATAATGGTAATATTTGTCCAGAAATACGACTAAACTATATGACTACACGTTTTTTCAGCGTGTGAACTGATTTCAGAAGAAAAGCAAGATACTAGCAACACAAAATTGGCATTTAAAAAAGTGGGAAGATAAGAAAAACTCTGAACAATTATATCACAGAGATAAAATAAAAATTTTGATCTCACTATAAAAGTGAGGTATAAAAGTAGTCGTGATAAGAAAAATACAGAGGAAATGTTTAAGAAACTATGAACCAACTACAGGTTGATACATGTCATGAACTCAAAGCGATTCTCATCAAAACGATGGGTGCTCAAATAAAAAAAGACTAGGCAAACTAGTGAAGAATGAATTTCCCTGAAGAAGTTTGGACCAGATTGCCGAACAAAACGTTGGAATTAATCATTTCAATTTCACTGAGATTTTACAAATATAGTTTTTTAAATGTCCAACAGCTTACTTAAGTGGTTCCATGCTTGAGCTAATCTCATAATACAGATGTCATAATGTAACCAATTCCAACGCTTCCTAGAACTACTACGTACTACCATTCCCGAATAAATTGTAGATATGTGCTGAAAATTCCACACTGTACCACTAGTACTGTTTCTGGAATAAAAGCAAATTATTAATATTCATTTGATAGCTAAGTAATTTGGAAATTACTCGAGTACTACGGCGTGCAGCGCTCAAATATTCATCAACCTTATTCAACAGCTAGCTGTACGATAACGGCAAATGTCAAGTGATCCACAACGGAAAACTCAGCAAGGCGTTTGGAGTAAACACAGGAGTCAGACAAGGGTGCTTATTATCACCCACTTTGATATTCCTAATTGTCCTGGACTGACTGGATTATGCGTCAGACAGTGGGAGACGAGAAGACTGGGAGGGATATCCTGGACCGACCGATGTGAAGAACCTAGAAGACCTGGATTTCGCGCGTGGATGATTTATGTTTACTGTGACACAAAATCGAAGACTTACAAGCGAAAACTGACCGACAAACTGGTCGAAGAAGCAGACAGTGAAGGTAGGACTCCAAGTGAACATAGACAAGACGGAGGTTATGAAAATAACCAATCACCACCACCAACAACAACAGCAGCAACATCTAGCGCCAATCACCATCAACGGGAGGGATTTGAAGGAGGTTACTTCATTCACTTACTCACTAGGGAGCATTGTCTCAACTACAGGCAGTTGGAACGGGCGAGGATGTCAAATCGAGCGAGAATCGGGAAGGCGAGAAACACACACATTCATCAACCTGAAATCAATCTGGAAATCTTCGTCACTTAGCCATATCAACAACAAAATCCAGTTGGATTTTCAATACAAATGTCAAGTCAGTCAGTTCTTCTATACCGAACGGATCAGAAACTTGGCGGGAGGGTCACAAAGAATATTTCCAACAGCCTGTTGCACATCTTTATCAACAACCGTCAACTGTTGCTCTATACTGAAGATCAGATGGTCGGGCCGGAAAGAATCACCAACAAGGAACTATGGGAAGAGACAAAGCAAGAACCAATTGCCCAGCAAATATGCAGGAGAAAGTGGAGATGGATCAGACACTCTCTCAGGAGACCGCTGGGTGACATCGCTCGCGCGTCAGACCATTGCTGGAGTGGAACCCTAAAGGGAAGCAGCGAATGGGACTTCAGTGCAAGAGTGGGTGACATGGAGGAGATCGTGTGAAGAGGAGTTGAGGCAGTATGGACTAATATGGATGCAGGTGAAAAGTACAGTAGAAGGAAGACAAAAGTGGCAAGTGGATACGTGCAGCTGAAGCCCTATGTTCCACTAGTAACCCAATGGAGCAATAATAATATAATAATTTGAATACAGAAAGAATGAACATATTTGCAGGATAATACGAGCTCGTTTTATTTCGTGGATACTCTTCAACTGCTTACATCCTAAATAAATCAATTATATGTTAGGAAATTTCTGAACATATTTTTTACAATGATTTCAAATTATACATAGAGAGCATAAGCAACATTATTTCAAATATAATGTAAGTAGACAATTATTTAGTGTTAAAAGAGTAACTATTTATATAGTAAATAGAAAAGGGGGTGGAATTCAGATTTCTTTTGAAAACAAGGATGGAATGGATACAAAATACAGGATAGAACAACAGAGTTAATTTACACATATTACGGTGGAGAGTTCATGAAGGTGAGGGTGAATATTGAAACAAAATTATAAAATAGATAAAATAATTTAATTTAGTAGATTTGGTATTTTAATAATGAGTTCAACTCAGTGAGTCAAAATCAAGATTGATTGGAATGTTACGCAACAGAAGAAAACAATTATGGTTAACAGGGTAGTGAGAGATGAGTCACACTCTCTTTCTGTATACATAATTTGTGTCGAAGGATGTATGGAATAAATTATAACTCTTAAACAGAAAGTGAAGACTATCTAAGCTTTCGCTAACACTTTCTCTAAAGAAACCTAAAGACGTGAGACCAGCAAAAGAAGGAGAGTCTGATTTCTCGGGATCTCTATGTGCTGTTCACTACTATACACATAAGTTTGTCCCAAAAAAGTAATATTGAATCCGATGAGTAGTAATAATAATCCTGTTGACACTCTAAGATTAGAAGTCTCTAGGCTAAACTGACTACCATCTATCCTTCACTAATTTTCAGTGTGACGAAAGAATGTTTGACCTAACAAAAGGAATCTTAATAAGAATTTCGATATTAAATACGCTAAAGTGTAACAAAATAGAGCATATGTCCAGTTGGAAAGTGATTCAACAGGATGCCTACATAAAGAAACACTTAAACAGACTTCAATCAATGAACTGATTATACTTCGGTATATGTTTATATACACCAAGCAGGCTGGTATGACCTCAAGAAATAAGTACATTTCATGTACTAAAGAATTTTCAATGTATATTACGAGAAGAAGGAATCAACAGGTGAGAAAGGAATGTCATCAATTACAACGAAGTACCCAGTAATCGGTATATTTGAGAATCTAGTCACCCCACCAGTTAACACTTTTATAATTACATGGTACAGAAAAGTTATGGCATGGAATTTCACGTCACAACCTGCGCGTGCGCAAGTTTGATTGAAAATATTGTGAAATCTCAGGATATAATTCCAAAGTTTGCAGTAGAAATTTAGGACAGCATAACATCAAGATAAAAATTATATATAAATCAGTTTAAAAGGTAACCAAGCTAGTTTCTAAACACTGGATATATAAAAATTCCGTTGGATAATAAGAATTACTTCAAAGGACACACATGATCTTGTTAAAAAACAAGAACTAAGCGGAAAAAGCCCCTGTGCGTCGGTGGCACAGTGGTTAGGACTCCCGCCGACCATGCACATGGGCCGAGGTTC